CAAGGAGCTCTGGGGACCCCGGGAGGCAAACAGTCACACTTCCATAGCCCCGGCTTTCTGCCTGCAACAGACACCTGCTGCCTTGGGCTTTTGCGAGGGTAGGTTTTGAATTCTTCCACCTTAAGGCTACCCCGAGGGAACCACCTTTGTTAGCTCCCACAGCTGAACCTGGTCGCTGTCTCACAGTTGGCAACATCCCGCTAATGTCAGAGCGAGGGAAGCAGCAGCTTGTGCTTGATGTACCGTAAGTTGACCCCCGCTTACCCTGAGTGACCATCTTTACTATGCAGCACAGAACTCCCTGGGAGAGGTTGGCCAGAAGTGAGTCCTGCACCAGAACTAGCCCGGATCCATTGCACTCGTTAGCCCATCCCTGGCTTCTGGCCACCCCCATAGAGAGCTGGCATTTGGGAGCACGCAGGCTGAGAGCCAATGAGTGATCACACATGAAACGTGCAGCTAATGGACAGGAGAGTCAAGTTTCCAGACAATTAGGTTCCGATAAGAGGGAAGCTTCTGTGGCAATGCTGGGCGTGGCAGAGAGGAAGCGGCCGGTAAATTTCCACTGGCCCTTTTCTCTCATGGAGCCCTGCTAACGCTCCAAGCAGTCTGCTAATTGATTCACTTCTTGATCCCGCCTGGAACACAATCTGACAGCAGTTTATGGACTCAGAATTGCCTAGAAGTGACAGGAAAGAAGCAATTTAGTGATATTTACACACACATTCCATTTTGGCAACCAAGAAGTAGCTTCTGTCCAAAGGGTAAGCTGTCTTCATCAGCGTTGCTAGGTATTGTTTGTCTTCCCCGAGTTCAGTGCTTGCTAGAGTCGCAGGCAGCCCCTGCACAGGTGCTGGGAACAAGGGGAGGAGATAGAACAGGACTTTGGGATCAGCTGTTTCACACACTGGCTGTGGGAGACTTCCATGTGAAAGAAATTGGAAAGCAGGACACAAACAGTGAAGAGAACATGATAGAAACACACAAAACAAGGACTAGAACAGAGAAGAGAGATCTGGCACGCCTGTATCTCCTCTGATAAAAAGATGAAAGGAAATTCAATGAGATTGAAAGAAATTTAAAAATGAAAACATTTGTAACAGAACATGTCATTAAACTATGGAACTCCCTGCCACATGAGATCAAGAGCTTAGCAGGATTCCGAAGAATTGACCTGTGCACATATGGATCACAACAACCCATGCAGTCTCTACTGCAGCTACATGTGTAGGGGATATAAACCCTCATGCGCCTACGTCGCCAGCCATCGTAAGGAGGTTAGGCAGAAGCCTTTGTTATAGGCAGGTTATTGCATTACGTGATTTCCTGCACCTTCCTCTGAAGCATTTGCTATTTAGACAGACAGGATCCTGGCCTAAATAGAACTGCACTAGTCCCGCATAGAGACAGATACAGAATCTCTGGGTGACATTCTGGGGCTTGTGTTGTCAGACTAGATCAGTGGTTCCCAAACTTTAACAGCCCACGAACCCCTTTCACTAAATTGTGAAATCTCGTGAACCCCCTCCTAAAAATGAATATTTCCAGAGATTTAAGTTTAAATTTCCTCAGTGTGATGGATGCCCAACTGCCCGGCCCCGCTCTCCCTGGGGCTTGGAGTGCTGGGGTCCGGGCTGCCGGCTCCCCCGCTGACGGGGGCGGGGCTCGGGCTGCCAGCCCCAACTGCCCGGCCCCACTTCCTCTGGGGCTCGGGCTGCCAGCCCTGCGTGGGGAGCGCTGTAGGTTGGGCTGCTGGCTCCCCCACTGACAGGGGCAGGGCTCGGGCTGCCGGCCCCAACTGCCCAGCCCCACTCTCCCTGGGGCTCGGGGTGTCTGCCTTGCAACAGGGTCCCACCTGCTGTCTCCAATGCCCGGGGTCCTTTGTCCGCCCTTAGTGAAATTTTTCTGGCGAACCCCCATTTGGGAACCACTGGACTAGATGATAAATAAAGCCAGAAAGGACCACAGATCATCTCGTCTGACCTCAAGCATAACACAGGCCTGGTCTGAAATACTTCATTTGCACTAGGGCAGATCGTTGATGAAAGTATCCAGTCTTGATTTGTTGCCAGGGCTGGAAAACTCACCCCTACTCTCAGTAAATTGTTCCAGTAATTAGTTACCCTCCTTTGCAAGTTTGCACCTTATGTCAAGTTTGAATTGCTTTAACTTGCAGCCATTGGCTCTCGTTAGACCTTTACCTCCTAGACCGCAGGGCCCCCATTATCAAGTGTTTGTTCCCTAGATAAGTCATTCTAAACTGTGATCAAGTCAGTCCTTAACCTTCTCTGTGTCAAACGAAATAGAATGAGTTCCTTGAGTCTGTCATTCTAAGGCAGGTTTTCCAACCCTTTCATCATTCGCATGGCTCTTCTCTGACCCCGTCAGTTTAATCGACATCCTTCTTGAGTTGTTGACACTAACTGGACCCAGGAGTCCTGTGGATGGTCCCCTTTGGCCTTTAAAAAAAAAAAAAGCCACCCACTACCTATGGACACTTGCGTCCCTCTCCCCCTCAATACAGCCCGTGGTCACAGAACAGACAGCAGCTATTAAGGGAAGAACAGAGGCTGTTTTAGGGATGGGTTTGGATACTGACCAGTCACTCGTTCTCATTTCATTCCTGTGTTAGACAGGATTTGCCCACCCAGCCTGCGCTCTCAGTGCTGGAGGATTCCCAGTATCCCTCATTTACTCTCTTTTCAAGTATCGGAAATAAATGGACACGCACGTTTGGTGTCTCACGTTAGAAACTAGGACTCCACGAGCTGGACTGCTTTGGGGGTCCGTTCTTCCACCACGATCTCAGCCAGCCCTGCAACCTCCGAGTCCCCAGCCCCTTCACCTGCGCCAAGGCATTTCAGCCTGAGCGGTGACACTCCCTGCTGCTTCACCCCTACTCTCCCCAGCAGGCATTGCAAGTCATAGGTTCCCGCAGGAAGTCAGAGACGGAGGCAAAGAGCAGAAGTCTTAAGGGGACAAAAATCCACCTTTTGAAGTATTGCCACAGCTTAGAGTTTCCCACGAGAACTTGGTAACGGCCCCTTTAAGGCATGTGCCGTGTTTAAATATGCAGCGCACAGGTCTCATTTGCACATTAAACTTTCAGCCTGCCAGAGTCAGGTTTCTAGACAATACGATGCAAATGAGGATTTCAGTTTAAGCAGCCTGGGTGGGGCACTGGGGAGCCTGCCGGAAATTTCCACTAGCCAAGTTTTAAATTCTTACTTTTCTCAGCTCCTTCTGAGGGCTCTGCCACCCTCTCGACAGGGATCACGTCTCTGACTGCGGCACATGCCCACGGCAGGGGAATGGGCAGAGCCAACCCCCAGCCAAGTCTCGTGAAAATGCCCCAAAGCAAGCAGGGGCACCAAGCGCTGTGTGGAGCGGGGTCTCCAGCAGCACTGCCTGCTCCACCCGTGCCGTGAATCGGTACCGACCGAGGGTGCACCAACCCCGGCTCCCGCCCAACAGCTGAGCAAACGTTCCTGGATTGCGGAGGCCTACACAAGGGCCGCAAAGGTAGCCTGGGTCAGGTGCTCTGCTCTGCTCGTGGAACAGGAGATGGAGTCCCATGTGACCGCTAAGGTACAGGCGGATTCTCCCTCCCGCAGCACTGCGTGTGGTACAGGCTGTTCCTAATCCCACCTGGTGTGTTTTCAGTTAAGATTCTGCTGTTCTTCCAGGCGCTCCCTCACAAGCCGGCCTCAAACCAAGGGATCCCCTTCCACCCTCCCCTCAAGGGCTGCAGCCACTAGGGGACTCCCTGATCCGTCTCCCCAGTTCAAGCTCTCCACACCACTGGGCTTGAGGCTGGGAAGGTGCCCGTGGTTGCAGCTGCCAAAGAGAATTTTCCCAGAGTCAGTGGGAATCCAACACACCGTCATGTGTCCTAAACAAAGCAACCCAGGCCATGCCGAGGCCATGGAGAGCACTGCCCCACTGGTTCTCAAACTGGGGGTCAGGACCCTCAGGGGGTCACGAGCTGTCAGCCTCCACCCCAAACCCTGCTTCGCCTCCAGCATTTATAATGGTGCTAAATAGAAAAGAAGTGTTTTTAATTGATAAGGGGGGGGTCGCACCCAGGCTTGCTGTGTGAATGGGGTCACCAGTACAAAGGTTTGAGAACCCTTGCACTGCCCCCTGGTGGCTGAACATTGTCATACACCTCACTAAGCCCGTTTGGATCCAAATGTGCGGTACACACGGAGGTCAGGCAAGCAGAACGCAGGTTAATGCCTGTCCATGAGCAGCACTGGAACACGGACATCCAGCTCCCTCTTGCAGAGGAGGTCGGCCGTTCGTAACATTTTCCACAGGGTCACAGGTCTCTATTTTCGCAGCCCTTCCATCCCCTGAACAGACGTAGGCAAGTAGGGAGGGCTAACAAAAATAACTATTAATCCCCCAGCGAGAACATTCTGAGATTAGGATTAGTCCACTTCAGAGAGCACCTTGCCCACACTTTACCCAGAAGGGGGCTGAGAGCGATGGAGCACAGGTAAGTACCTAGGCACTGCAGACAGACGAGGCTTTGGATTAAGAACCACCAGGGGAGAGAAAGGGGATAAATCAGAGCCAATTAGAGCAAACCTGATCCTAAAGCGCCAAGGACACAGGGCAGCTGATCCTGAATTCAAATCGTGAGGGAGTTTTCTGAGCCTCCGTCACACAGGAACAGCGAGATCAAAACTTCACTGAAAGCTACATTGTTCTGCATCGGCAATGATGTTTCCTGGGTGAAAGTTACCAAGTCCTTTGACGGTGACAGGCTGAACGCTAGCCCTGGGATGTACCCCATCGGAACCTGATCAGTGTCAGACCATACCCTGTGCCTTTGTTCCTCTCCCTACTGCAACAATAACTCCTTACGTTTTGGAATACAGAATTTTAGCACAATATTTCAAACATTCGGGTTCATTCTTTATTGGGGGGTTAAACCCCATGCCAGCCATTTACCCTCAGAATGAAACTCTGAAAAGAAATATACAACCTTGTGCTTGTTTTCCAATACAGTGAATTTATTATATGTTGCAAAATCAGCATTCAGCTTTTTAGTGTACAAAAAGACACTAGCTCTTTAAGAAAAGATTAGGAAAGCTGAAGAGTACGCTGCCTTTAAATCGTAACATTTTGGCAAAGTGAAAAGCTCTTTGTAAACTCCAACTCCATGGCTCAATAGAGTTTTATCCACAGTACAATATTACAAAGTAAAACACAGTATCAATAAGTTAGATCATACTTAATCATCTAGAACTGGTTTCTATTAACCCAAAAAGCACAAGATTTGCCTAGCTTCATACTCTCTAAAAAGAAAAGAAAAAAGAGAAGGAAAAAAAAAAAAGGCAGATTTGACTACATAACACAGACCAAAAGAAAAGTGAAGCAGAAAGTTGTTAAGCTAATTGGGTCTCACAGTTTGGATAGTCATTAAATATTTTTTCAGCTTTATATTCCAATTCTAGAAGTTCCAGAATATACATGTAAATGTACATAATACATCTTTGTATACAACTGTTTGCAAAAATATTTTATAGCAGATGTATAAAGACTGAGATCCATCTCTACTTCTCAAAAAAAAAAAATCCAAAAAACCCTTTCAAAATATTAAGGATCAGAATGAGACGTGTTTCCATGGAAGAATTTATTTATCTTGGTTCATAACTGATGCCCTTTTCTGCCATTTGGAGTTTTGTGGTTCCTTGCGTTTTCAAGAGGAAGCATACTTTGCGTTTCTTTTGCTAAAAAACACGTTGGCTGATAAATGTAGTTTGTGCTACAGATTAGACCACCAATCTGAAAGCCACTGACGAAAAAACTCTTTAAAGCCCAACTGCTTGCATCGTCATGATGCGGCCTTCTGGCAGAGGCTTTACACAGATTTAAGCTGCCACCAGAAAATGCTGGATTCCCACAACTGCCGGCTAGCAAAGCTGCCTACAGCAATACTCACTTGCTTTTCGGGCCTTGCATTGTGAATCCTCACAACATGCCCGGAGATCTCTGCTGACCACAATAAGAAGTACACAAACAAGGTGAAAAGGGAGCCCAATAGCAGAGCAACGTAACCCCCCACATTAACCACAGCTGGAACAAAACAGATCACTGATGCTCTAATAAAATAGATCTTGATGCGACTCTCAGCCACAGAAAGTCTGTCGGATCAAAGCTGTTTCAGATCGCCTATGTTTTTAGCAGGATTTGAGCTCTCACAAGGAAAAATGGACGTCCTTTGTTTCTGATATTCTCATGAAACCACCACTTGCTGTTGGGGGTGAGGGGGAACTTATGCATGTAACATCAAGAGAAAACTCATTTGACAAAAGCTTTTCACTTTAAATCATCCATATTTTTTAGCTTTCCCTATCCACTGGAAGCCCCAATGGGGCATGAGATGTTCTGAAGATTGCTACTTATGTCCACGAGACAAGAATAACCTTCCCCTGCTCTCCTCCCCCATGGAGCGTTAGTCTGCTCTCTGGGTAGGGGAAGCAGACACCAACATTTTCCTTAAAACTTCAGCTGTTTGTAGGACTTCACTCCCACAAACACTGGGTTCTTCCACCAAGTCATTCTGCAGACCTCTGTGAGAGCCTCCTTGCCCTCCCAGCTTCTTACTAACCCTTTACTGCTAGTCTGCAAATTGTAACTGGCCACTGGCTAGTCATGGATCATAGCTGCAGAACCCCTGTACCAGACCTGACATAGCGGTATATGCAAATGGCTCCCATTAGCACTAAGTCAGATCCCTGCCGGAGCAAACTAGGGTAGCATCAGTGATCCCACTGGTGTTGGAGGACTAGGCAGGAAAGAGAAACTCTGACACTTTAAAACTATCTACACCTTGAACAAGGGCCTTTTAAGACGATAAATGGTGAGAGGTTTTGGAGCACAAGCCTATTAAACTAGCAGCAATAGAGTCCAGCTAGAATGGAATTATTTCAGATGGACGCACATTTTCTTGGGCAGCAAAACACAAACCAGAACCTAGTCCGAGAAGAACTAGTCCCCCCTCCTCATTCCTGATGATCTGACTCTGCCATTTTACTCTCTCAAAGAGGATCACATTCTCCTGATGCAAGGAGCCACTACTGGGAACAAAATAAAACCACTGCTGTTTGGAAGATAAAATGGAAGCGGGAGTGAGTAAAATCACACAGGCTGGCAGGATTAAAAGGTAAAAACCACAGAGCTAAAGGGCACCTTTGTGCTTTTTGCTGAGTTCCTCACGCCTCGGCCATGTTCTAAAGTATTCCCTTCAAGTCCAAAAATCCAGAGGAAAGGGTTGGACAAAGCACAAGAGTGTAAGTGACCCGCACTGGACATGCTACCTTACTTCTCTCAAATTTCTCTTCCGGTTCCTGTTCTGAGCGTTTGATTCTCTGCTGCTGCTTCTTTGGAAATGTGCAGAACACAGAACAAGAAAGCATCGCCCTCCCCCACCCCACCAAATCCTTTTTTATCCCATTACAAACAACAAAATAACTTCTCTGGGTAATTATCCAATGAGCATTAGTAATACTGCAGTTATAAGACAGGGAAGGTTCTGAAACACTTGGCCTAAAAGGAAAAGGGAGGCACAGTTTTAGAAAAGATGCTTCTTTGTATATATATATATATATATATACACACACACATATATATATATATATATAGAAAAATAGACCACAGTCTCATTAGCAATTAATAAAATTGGCTGTCTTGGTATAAAACTATAAAAGTCAAAGACAGACAGGTCTCAGTCTCCCTGGCCTTGGTATATGAAGTATAATGCAGGCTGACTGAATTGTGCACACGGGAGGAGCCATGGCAAAGTTTACGCTGATTGCTTCCAAATGCACAAGCTGGATAAGAGATTTCATATATGAAGAATCCAAAAGTCTGCATCGGACAAAGCATTCGGTGCAGATTCCTGGGCAGTTTCTCTCCTGCTGACACAGCCACCTCAAGGAGAGCACAAACTGGAGAAGATGACAAACAGGAACAAACAGCGAGAGCTCTGGGAAATGGAGTATTTAACATGGTGCCCTGTAGCGCAGACAGCTTGCATATGAACATCGCACGTGCCAGAGAAGGAGGTAACTTAGCAGCATTCCAGTTCCTCGCCATCTGCAGAACAGAATATGCAACATGGCAAGGGCTGGGCCAGCGATAACTAAACTTCATTCCAAACTTTATCCGTGAAAACAATGGATTCTTTACCTTTGGGAGTTTTATGCACTTTAGGTGAGTTTTCCCTTAAGTGTCAAAAGCTGGCTTCAAAGAAGCAGATTTTCCTTTATTTTCCTTTCCAACATTCAGAGAGGGTAAAACTGGAGAGGACTACGCCAGGCACTGGTTTCACTACTTGGCTCAGACACTAGCGTGACAGACTCCGCGTCATCATCATCTCCAAGTTCTTCCAACCACGAGGACTTCGTGCTTGGCTCTGAAAGGAATTTACTTTTTTTTGTTGTATAAAAGGAAACTGTAACATCCAAGTGAATCTTTTTTGCACTACCCAGTCCAGATATTAGTGCCAAGACTAAAACTGCTGTTGGTCATACTCTGCTATCAGTTTTTTTATATGAGCCAGTTTGTTGTGGAGGTATTCACAGCGATTTTTTTCTTGGCTGTAATTAGGGTTTGTCTGCAAGGAAAAGGAAGATACAATTACCGAAGTTAATAGTTCTCCAGTTCTATCATAACACACATCACAGATAGAGTGGGTCAGACAGCCCCAAAATGCAAACCATATTGATGCTAGTTAACAGTAAGCACTGAAGTTTGATTCCTTTGCTGGATGGACAGTCACTGATGAGCCTAATACTTTTACCGTCCAATTAAGTTTCTTCATCAGGAAGATCTTTCCTCCTCCCTTAAAAAGGCACTTGGATTTGTTGTTGCCAGGTTACAGCAAACGGTGCTGGTCCTGGATTGTGTGGACCAGCTCTATTCCTCAACCCACCCTCAATCTAAAATTGGAAAGCTGTTCTGAGCAGGGTAACTCCAGTAAAAAAGCAAAACATCCCCTTTAAGTGGGAGATAGCTATAAGTCCCCCTTCCTTCATGAGGTTAGGGTTAGGCAAGGGCAGGTACTGCAGCGTGTATCCTAGCAGCTTGGGTGTTGCAGATCTGGGAGGGCACAGGCCAGCAATTTGTAAGTTTCTCATGAGAGGAGCTGGGGAGTGAACTCCCCCACCACTGGGGGATGGAAGGGGAAAGAGGTGCCCATTACTTTTGAGTCACTTTATATTAACTTATAAAAAGTTTGATTAATAGACATTGCAAGAAATAGTTAATTGTTCCAGGTTATAATAGGTTGTTCTATTACCATCTACAACACACCGTCATAAATGTAACGTGCTTATAACATTAAACCCTTATAAAACTATCAACAGAACCTTAGAAATGCAACCAGACTTCATTTCGATTAAGATGATGCCCCTCCTAACAGTGCAAGGATATAGGCCTTGGTGTCTGTTCTGTAACTGGGGCCCCCAGCCCCTGAATTAGGAACGCTAAGTAGGGTATTGCTAGAAGAATAGCCAGATTTTGACTACACTTGAAACATTTTAATATCAAACTGCAAGTGACCAAATAACCAAGCTCAGCCAATTTATTGTCTAAAGGCAAAGTAGCACAATACAAAAGAGCGCCTCCATGAACCTGTTTTTTGCAGCCTGTAGTTCACCTTACACAGAGGGGATTGCCGGAAGTATGCATTCATATTCATCATATTTTTTAGTAGGGCTGTGTACAAGTTAAAAAACAGTGTGTGTGTCACTTAAGATCCAACCTATTTGTTCGTTAACTTGTTCTGCACCTTCCCTTATCTCCTTCACCGGACACCACAGTCCAAGTGCTAGGGGCTGGGAAGATACCTCCCAAGCTGAGGGCAGGACAGTCACATGGTCTGGTTTCTGACACATTCCAGATCTGCCTATACCAAGTGCTGAGTTGTGCTGTGCAGGGTATTGTGGGATATACACCTTGACACGAGTGAGCAGAAGGGAACAGCACTGGGGGAAGAGCACAACACATTCAGTTACCATACCTGCCCCCATGCTGGGTACAATGACGTGCAATGCCCCTAACCTATGTATTAGCTAACAAAGGGGGATGTGAGGGCCTCTTCCACAAGGCCCCAAAGGGGACACAAAGGTCACCTGTGTAGATAGGCTATCAAGCAATGGCACAACAGCTTTATCTGCAGCCCGCCAGCTCTGCTCTCCCTCCCCGCCTCGGAGCTGAACCACAGGATCCTTCTAAAAGGGAAGTGGAGCGCAGGGGAGAGTGCCCCAGAAACTCACTTCATAAAGCCCATCAACTCCTCAGCAAAGGGAGGGCTCAGAATCCCTTTCACAAACTAAAAATCTGATAAAAGAAAAACCACAGTGGTTCGAGGTGTGCCCCACGTCATTGCTCACCGCTTGGCTCGCTGCCTGTCACGGAGT